CAAACTTACGTTTCCTTGCTTTGTCTTTTTTATGGGGAGGAGGGTTGGGGATGGGGAATTTACTTCAGGGCTGAATTTCTGTCGCAGGCTTCACCTTTTAACAATAATCAGAGATTAAAAGTTAGCTGAAAGGAAATGAACATTGAAAACATAGGAGGAAAATGTGTATGAAATACAAAGAGCTTTCATACCGGGCTTGTTACACATATCTGTGCAGTCAGTGCCTGCACTTCCTGCCCTATCCTGCCCTGATTTTACCTTTAATTGTTAATACTGCATATTAGCTTGCTAGTTAGCTGTATAGTAGGGTGTTAATATTAATATTAATAGCATACCTTCCTACATAAAGCTCTGTGCAGGAAATTCCAGGAGACTGGGGTGAAGTTCATAGAACCATATAATCACAGAATATGCAGAGTAGGAAGGGACCCATCAGGATCATCGAGTCTGACTCTTGGCCCTGTCATTAGAAGGTGTGGGGAAGCAGAGTTGTTAGTCACTTAAGGAACAGTGAGGTGAGGGGATGTATCTTGCTCTCTGTTCCCTCTACTTTTCCTTATCTCCATTTTCAAGCTGGCTTTCATTAGTCACTTTGTAATTCATCATCATTTCTAGGATCTGTTCAAGCGTATTCAAGCAGAATGTTTCTGGATTGGACTGAGGAACAGTACAAGATCCGGATGGATTTGGGAGGATGGCTCTGTATTAAGTGATGCCAGGTGAGTTTCATTCTGTTTTAAAAACAATAGTGCTTATTCAGATTGCCTGGTGTTCCAGAACACCCAGAGTTCCTCCTCCAGATGTCAGGAGCTTTCTTCCTGGGCAGATTTTCTTCTTGCTGTCACCTGTACTGCACTAAGCTCAATAGTGTTTACTTTTCACTGCCCTGCACCTTGTAAAGGCATGTACCTGTGAAAAGCAGGTCAAGTATTAGTATCTCACTCTGCTTCCCTCCAGCTGCTCAGACCAGGGACTTTATTTACCTGCACCAGCACACAGATGCTTGGTCAGAAAGACATATGGCTTTACTGGGTTTAGCCACCTTGCACCCATTCTGTAGAATGCTGGTGTCACTGGGTGCAAGAACCCAGCCCTTTCCTGCTCTACTGGTGCCAACCTAAGTCAGAACTTTAATTTTAGCTCAGTCTTTATTTGGACAAAAGTCAGTGTTTTCCATGAGGGAAAACATTTTTTTATCTGGTGACTTTGCCTGGCCCTTTCCTTTTTATGGCAGTTAAGGGAATGAGTTAGTTTCTAAAGCCTCTCCAGCAAGCAAAACTTGCCCAAGATCTCACTGTCAACAGGTCAGTACTCTGAGCACTTGGCTTAGTTCCCTGATTAAATCCAGCTTTCTGTTCCTACAAACTCCTTGAAGGCAGTGATCATTCCATGAGACTTTCATTCAAATACCACTGCCACTCACATACTGGTGGCTATAACTGCCACTGCAGGGAATTTTGTCTGAGTTTGGGTCTGATTTGTGTTCTGTGATGGCAAAATTACTTAGCTGTGGCAGGTAGATAGGTTCTTTGATGTACATTTTATTTTCCAACAGCTGCCTTTTGGAGGTCAGGTTGTTTCTATTCCTCTGGGCTATACCCTTCAAAATCAGATGTTTTTAATTTCTTGTCTCCAGGAGACAATCTCAGTATTTTCTTTCATTCTCACTACTATTCCATGTCTCTTGCAGGGTCTACTCTAACAGCCCTGTGCAAAGTTGTGCTGTCCTGATGAAAGATCGGTTTCATGCCTCCAGCTGTGAAGTTCCTGCTCAGTGGATCTGTGAGAAAACACTTAGATAAATCCCACGTGCTTTTTCATCTCACAATGACCCCATCAGTGGTATGAGGTGATCATTGCCCTGCAAACTGAAGCTTCATACAAGAGCAAGGGCTACCTTTTCCATACCCACACTAAAGTGTTTTACAAGAACAGGTTTGTTGTCCATAAGGGTGAGTTAATCTCAGAAATAGATTTATTCTCAGTCCACAAGTGTTGGATTACTGCTCTTTGTGACCACATGAGACCTGGGACATATTCCCTGGCCTACTCTTTCCCTTATTTATCCTATAAAGGCAAATAAAAGCTTTGTCACAACAGGTGTCTTCAGACCTCCGAGGGGGACCTAGTCATTTTCCCTCACTTCTAAGTATCAGATTTCATTTCCATTCCCTGCAACTCCATTGTCTGATATCAGATGGACCAGGAAAGGAGGCCTGCTGTTCATTGACAGAAACATATAAACATATTTCTTCTAGTAGCAGCTTCTCCTTTTGCATGCCAGCGGTATGAGTGGGAGAGAAGAGGGTGAAATGAAACTGCAGCTTCTGTAAATCCAGCAGTGAAAATAAATCTCGGACTGCACTGAAATAAAAGTGTGTACCTGTGCTACTTCTCCCTGTTGGAAGGAATTAGGCAGGTTCAAGCAAGCTAGTCAAGAAACTGGACTTCTGGAGTCAAAGGGGTACAGCTAATTCTGTGTAATTATTTAATCCACCAGGAATCTGTTTTCCTCCCCACGTGTGTGTTTTCATACTGCAGATAGAGGAAGCAGTGGTCAAACCCTTAATGCAATGATCTTTCAGTTCAAATAGAGCCGAGACAGGCTCAGAGTTTGAATGCCATAAACCCACAGTGAATATTTGGGAACACTGTCTTCAGTTCTGGGCTGCTCAGTACAAGAGAGAGATGGCCATACTGACTGGAGAGTCCAACACAGGGCCACAAATATGACAAAAGGACTGGAGCATCTCCCCTCTGTGGAGAGGCTGAAACAACTGGAATGGTTTATTCTAAAGCAGAGAAAGCTGAGGAGAGACCTTATTCCTACAATCATAGGAGCACAATAACCCGCTTTAACATTTCAATTCAGATTACATGTATTTGCTTCATATTTTTATTAAAATTGCAGGAAATCCTTGCCAGTGGCATTATCTTCCACCTGCTTAACAGGATGCTACACATGAAGGTATCAAGGTGGATAAAGACAAAATTACGGATCTTAGCACACTTAGCTAAGTGGATGTCTACTGAGCCTCATATAGAGGTCACTGAGATGAGGGTCTCGGGTGAGAATGTGTTACAGCAAGGAGGAGTCTGCTTTTTCATAACCAACAGCCAGACTTGGGGGAACTGCAGTGTATTAGGAAGTCAAAACTTTAGAATTTTCATCTTGGGTTGTCTGAGTTACTTTGGGCGAGTCATTTTATCTGTGCCAGAGTCCATTCAAATACCAAAAGATAGTTGTTTCTGACTTCTGGAAAGTTGCCAGACACTATGAAATAATGCTGAACACTTAGCTTGCTTTGTCAAAATGGCGGTGGCATCTGTAGAAGGGCACCTATCAGTTACCTTACCAGAGAATACCACTGAAGAAACAGCTTCTCATATTATCATATGTAGGTGAGATGAGAATGTCTCTGAGCTTGCCTACTTTACCTTGCCTGAATGGATTGAAAACATTTCTCTTCAGTTTTTAGCTACAGAGCACATTTTTGACCAAGGTCCTAATGATCAGGAGCAGGCTTAGGAGCTGTGAGAGCTGTTTGGCTGTTTGACAAAAAGGGTAGATCTCTATAGAGATCCTTCTGCCATGTGCAGTTTTGCATCTTGTCCTGTCGGGTTGATGTTCCATCAGTCCAGCTCCTGACCTTTACCACTGTAAATTGTCATCTTCAAAAAGGCTTTGACCAGCCCATATGTATAAATCCTCTCCTCTGTGGGTGAGGCAGACTTTCCTGGGTTATGTTTCTTTTGGGCAAGCAAAGTCATCTTTAGGTATCAGATGCTGAAGGAAGAGCACAAATCTGGGCTGTCTTTTGTGCAGTCCCCAAGGAAATTGCACATGCACTACTATCCTCTTTTTTCCTATGCAGGTCACTGCAGGGCAGAATGAGGTCGGTAATGAAGGTTTGTAATTGCACTGCACTTGGATTTCTTAACTCCAGAGTTACTCAGTTTAACAAAGTTTTGATGATTATATGAGGAGAAGGGTAGGACAGACAGAAAATCATTTTATCCTGTACACTTTTTAATCTGAAAATTATGCTTTACATCCTCTAACATAGATCTCCATTCTTTGGAGTTTGTATTAGAACTACAAATAAGACAGATATTCTACTGCCACTTGCAAGGGTAATAATTACCAGAGCTATTGATCCTCCTGCTGCAGCCCAAGTAAAGACAGTGGTCTAGAGACTCCATTTCCCTCTCTGGTACAATATTGACCATCACAGTGCATTACATGAATATGCACTTAATTAAATCAGGATGACTCCATCAAACAGCAATAATTTGATCTAGATGTAACAATAACTTGATCTGGAACCAGAACCAGTAGAAGGAAAGTAAGACCCAGGCCACATATGTTCTGCTGTGTGAGGGCAGCTGCTGCTCTGGGCATTTGGTTAATTTGTTACATGCTGTTAATGGGTTGAACTTTTGGGAGCTTCCCGTCATGTCACTGTCCCTGTTTCTGTCAGGGTGAAGGCCAGATCATTTCAGTTGACTTGACTTTCCAGGCATTTTGTGGCCTCTTTTCCTGGCATTAGCTTTGATGGGACCAGGAACAGGGAGCAAAAGAGAACAGCGTGGGTGGAGAGGGAAGGTTTTTATAAATTTCCATTTGCTGTTTTCACAACCTGTTAATGGGAGTTAGACACACCCAGGTTTGTTTCCCAATTCCTAGCTCAATCTCCTTCTCCCAGTTTGAAGGAAATCAAACAGCTCCGCTGCTTTCAGCAACCTCCATGACCAGTGCCATGTCCAGCTCCACGCAAAGAGCCCTGCCAGAAATGGAAGCCTTCACCCCATGCTCTGCTGTTAGCCCTTCTTTCCTTAGCTACAGCCTTTCCTCTTCCATTGCCTCTGTCCTGCCCCAGCAGAGACAGAGCTCTGGCCTGCCAGGAACTCTCCCCTCCCTCTCCCCCCAGCCCTGGCCTTCTGCCCAGACTGGGAGCTGCTAGTCCCAGCTCCTCCTTGCTGCCTCTCCCTGTTTCCGGATGGGCCCTGGCCCCCAGCCCTTATCTCCTCCAGCCCCTGGGCTGTTTGCAGAGGAGAGTATAAAGGGGCTGACTGGGAGAGCGGAGGGGGAGTAAAAGCAGCACTGGACCACACTGAGTGTCTGCTTGACTCACCACGTCCTGCTCTGTACCATGGGGCTGAACGGGCTGCTTATCAAATCGAGCATCTTCCTCCTCCTCTTCTTCCTTCCAGGAGACACCTCACCCATCACAGAGCCGTAAGCTATGCTGGGGGGGTCTCTGGGCAGGCAGGAGACCTTGGCTGTATTCCTGTGTCTATTTTCTGTCTTTTGTCTTCTATCTAACTTCTTTTATTCAGGAATAAAGATACCAGGGCTGGGTAAAGTGCCTTCTACAAACAGGAACTCTAGTGTTTGAGAGAGATGCAAAACAAGCTGTGAAACTGAGATATCAGTAAAACTTCAGGGGATTGACAGGATTTCAACAAAGTTTTATGCAAAAAAATAGTTATTTGGAAAGACAACTTTTCATAAATGTTTGTACAATGAGGTCTTAATAGACAAACTGTTTTGAAAGGACAATGAAAGGTTTAATTTTGGGTTGACTGTCCTACTCCCAGTTGAAATGCCCAGGAGCTTGGAGTGGCTTTTTAAAAACGATAATGAGAAGAAAATGAACAAATAGCTCATCTGGCATGCTTGGAAATTGCTTTATTTTTTAATTCACATTTTTCAGCTCAGCCAATGGAATGAAAATTCCCTTCTCACGCAGGGTAATGTGACACTGTAAGACTGTGACTGTCCAGGTTTGTGAGGGTATAGTGTCCTGCCTCCCTTCTTCACCTTCATACCTTTTGCCCTGTTGGTAAGTGAAGGGCATTTGTGTTGTGTGCATGGGTGTGTATGTGTGGTAGGAGCAGCACATGAAGGGTTCTGACATCCCAAAGACTTTCTCCTTTGGCTTTTTGGCAATGTCTCTTCCTCCCCTGCACAGCACAGAGCACCTCACCCATCAGAGAGCCCATCACAAGGGGTGCAGGGGAATTTCTGAGCAAGGCTGTGCTGTAGTACTTTCATCAAATGCAGGGGAAACAGACAGTGGGATCTGAGGGGCCAGAGCTTGATCCCTGCAGACCAACTGTTGGACAAAAAGGTGCCAGAGCTTCTGCCACTGCTGAAGGGAATGCTTTGCCTTACTGCTGAGGTATTGAGGGCTCTTTCCCCACCTGCTCGCTGCTCTGAGTATGCCCACTGGAGGCCAGTCCTTGTCCACCAGAATGGGAGCATGGTTAGCGTTAGGTGGATCGGGCTTGATTCTTAGATGCAGTGCTGGGCACCGGGACACCACTGGCAAGCTATCACCCTGGGAAAGGAGGCTGCCCAGGGCTGAGCAGGGATCCCCTCTCGGGCTGAGACAGAGAGCCTTGCTTCCCTGAAAACCTGAAACTTGTTTGTGTTTTTGCTTAAGATCTGGCACCACGCTGTGGCGGTTTTGAATCTCTGCGAGGAGTGAGGGTAATGTTACAGACGCTTCGCAGTGTGTAGTCAATGGAATTTTTCACTGGGTACTGGCATTTGTGTGGCTCCTAAGTGCTTCTAACAGCTTCTAGCAAAAGTGACAATTGAGTTTCCCCCCGCCTTTATTCAGTATCCCAGGAAGAAGTGCTGCTGTTGTGTCAGAACCTAGAAAAACATATCCTTTCCAGATGTTTGTGTGTAGGAATTCCTCTGGTATTTTACATTTGAGACCTCTCTGCTTTCCCCTGCTGCTACAGACATGCTGGAAATCTTGTTACACACTTAGAAAATGCACCCTTCTCCCTGCACAGCCAAAGCTGTAGTCATCCGATTGGTTTGTTTGTTCTTTATACACAGCTCCTGTTACCTGTTCCTGCTCCTCTGACCTATCATTCTCCCTTGTTCCTAGGCAGTACATGGTGCTGGTGCCCTATCTGATCCACACAGATTCTCAAGAGAAAGTCTGCATTCAGCTGACCCACCTGAACGAGTCTGTGACCCTGAGTGCCACACTCGAGTACCTAGGGGAGAACAGGAGCTTGATTGATGATGTGGTGTCAGAGAAAGACGTGTTCACCTGCATCCCTTTCTCTGTGAGTATCTCATCCTTGTGGGATGATCCTTTGTTCCAGGCATAAAATGTAAAGGCACTGAGAAGTAACGACAGAGTAACACTATGTAGATATTCACTTACCTCTTGATTAAAGGTCTGTTCATGTCCGTCCTCAACACCCTCTTACTGCTGAGATCTCCTTAATATGCTAAATGACTGTAAGATGCTGAATCCTAGAAAGTCACCCCCTTTCTAGGACAGGAGAAGAAAGTGGGTTTAGTATATTGACACTCCTGATGGCTGTTTGGTGAAATGGCTTTCCACATTATCCTTCAACATCCTCAATTTGTCACTTCAGTGCCTTCAAATTGTGGTAGAGCTTTTGGACCACAGATACTTTCCACCTGGTGTCTACTGAATTAATGTAAGAACATAGAGCTGTGATTGCCTGTATCTGAAAAAAACCCAGCAAAGCAGGAAATTTATAATTTAATGTAATTGAAAGCCCCAGGGACTATAATGAGTTGTATGTAACTAGGAAAACCTGATCATTTAGCTCAAAACCTAGATTATGTCTTTGGCCTGAAGAGTGAGGAATTGGTCTTCAAGACATTGAAAAGGTTTGCATTTTTGTCTTGGTTTGTCAGATATAGGCTGAAGACTGATTTAGTCACTTGTGAAAGAGAGGTATACATGTCTTGGCCTGTCTGGTTTGGAAAAGGAAATGTTCTGCGAGGACTAGGGACATAACCTGAAAGAGAAGACAGACTATTCCATTCTGCTTGTGAATGTCAAAAGGAAAAGGATGGAAAGGTTTGGTCAGGGCAGTAAGAATTTTTAAAAAATTGGGTGCTAGAGCTAGGAGTTCTTTTGCTGCTCAGTACTGGCACAATCACTGCGCAGCCCAAGGAGTGCATAGGAATAAGGGACAAATAAAAATCAGTCTCTTGTTCCTGATTATTGTTCCTCTCACCTCTGTGTTGGATCCATCAAGATTATATTAGACCTCTTATTTCATGAAGGCTAGTTCAGTTCAGGAAGCCTTTAAAGGTGGTCTGCTACACAGTTTCCTTCTTACTTTCCAGCTTCCAAAGCCAAGACTCCCATTACCCTTCGTGTTTCTCACTGTGACAGTGAAGGGGGCCACGCTGCAGTTCAGCAGCCGCAAATTCCTGGTGGTCCAGAACTCCGAGAGCTTGGTCTTCATCCAGACAGACAAACCCATCTACAAGCCTGGACAGACAGGTACCAGGAAAGGGGGGGAGATTTGCGTTTGAAACAAACTTTGTACTAAAACTGTTGGATCATACTGACCAGATATCAGTTGCTTTCACAGCGGGTCAGAACTGCAACCTCGTGGCTGAGACTTATGTTTTATTGCTCCATAAAGGGAAAAAATGGGGAATCTTTAGGTGCATGCACATATCTGGGGCACCTGCACACTCTCCCTCTCTCACTGTGGGCTCTGTTGTTGTGGTCCATGCAGTTAGGAGGTCTGCATTAAAACCAGAGAAAGACTGGATATTTATCCTATAGAGAACAGTGCCAAAACTCAGACTTAGTCATGAAATAGCTCTCAAAGCAGCAGCTGATTTTGCTCAATGAAGACAGAAAGAATTATGTAAGCTATTTATTTCTTCTGGGCCAGTGATCTCCTAAATTTGGCCTGGATAAAAACAAATGTCCTAAAAGGGGTACTGAATTCTCTCTCCGTCCAGAGCCAACACAAACTTGCAGCCAAGTGCTGGAGTAATTTGCTTGCATTCATCCTTCCTAGGAAGTCAGTCTACTTATAATAAAATTAGAAGACCCATGTGAATTCTGGCATAAAAATGCTTCACTGCAAAATAGACAAAGGCAACTTCAATTTAACTTTGGTCCCTATCAATGAGATTCTGATGCCCATGATCAGTAAGATGTTCACACAGCTATGGATTTGCTCTTAACATCCTCTTATTCATGTATCCATAGTAGATGGGTAACCTTTTAGCATGACCTACCATTCTAGTAAATGGAATTTCCTTAGAAGAGAACAACCCTGTTGTCTGTTATACCATTTGTTTTTGCAACTGATTTTTCTGGTTACCAATTGCACTGTGGAACCTCATGTCTTTCTCCATCAGTCCTGTTCAGAATTGTCTCTCTGGATGAAGAGTTCCGACCTGTGAATGAAATGGTAAGCATGATAATTGTTTTTCGGCTTATTTGGCCTTCAGTCAAATGTGGGTAAAGGGAGGAAAAGTAGTCTCTGTTGGGGAGAGGTCTCAGTATACTGAGATAGCTGTGAAAATTCTGGATCACCTCAAATCTTTTTGACAGGATCTGTTGTCAAATTTCTGCACAAAGCTGCCTTCTGCATTCCTGGAAAGGTTTGACAAACTGCAAATGGACAGTGCTGGTATAAACAGTGAGCAATCTGCCATTGCCACAGCGTGCACCTGTTCTTGTTAGCACTGCAGATCATCCAGAGTTTGTAATTAATAATTTTGACTGTCTTTTGTGCCTGAGACCAAGGATTGTCCCCATCTTCTCACATCCAAAGTGCTCTGATGATCCATACCAGCAGCTTTTTTCCTTACCCCACTGGATGATTAGCTTTTACCCTGAAATGTGGTCATAGCCCATGCCATTTGACTGTGTTCCTTGCACTCTGTCTAAACATGCTGCTTCCTTTCTTCTTTTTCTAGATTCCACTGGTGTATATCGAGGTATGTACAAACATTTAATTCACATTCACATCTATTGCACCTCAACCTGGGCAGAGTAAACAGTTGCCTCAACATGATTCTTGTTTATTTTTTCTATTATTCTATACAGAATTTTAACTCATATGGTGGCTACCAGGTACCTGGGCCCAGGTTACAGCTCCCCTGCCATCCTGCTGTGTACTCCCCCCAAAACTCTGCTAGTGCCCTCCACTCCTGGCCTGCAACCTCCTGAAACACAGGGGCTGTCCCTCCCTTCACTGCTTTGCTAGACCTCATTGCAGACTCCCATTGTTCTCACAATTTCCTTGTGATCACATTACCTGTAGGACCCGAAGAAAAATCGTCTGTACCAGTGGACAAATGCAGAGTTAGAGATGGGATTTATACAGCTGTTCTTCAACCTCACCTCTGAACCTATCCAAGGCACCTACACTGTGGTGGCACAGAAGGCCTCTGGGAAGAAAGTTCAGCATTCTTTCTCCGTGGAGGAGTATGGTAATTGTCACTGCAGTTTCAAGTTCCTAACAGCTAGTCCCATGGGACATGAAATCTTAATTGAACAGTGCAGGAGATCTGACCAGGATGCCCAGCATTGCTGGAAATTTGTTTCTGTGTTTTTTTCCTCCCAAGAATCTTCTCTTTATGACGAGAAGACTGAAGTACTTGAGTGACCTATCTCCACTCCTCCCTAAGCCCCAGACCATGGAGTGCAGTTCTTCAGAAGGCCCACCTCAGCAAGGCTCCTATCAGGAGGAGCAAAGTGCTTGGATGAGTCTTTGCTGACAGCCACAAGGCTTACCTCCTTTCTGAGGTGTTTTTAGGCCACAACCTCATGTCCAGTTGGCTACATACCTATCAAATGTCACACCATAAGTCTGAGTCTAGGCTGGGGCTGTCTAGGCTGTAAATGAAGATCTTGCCTTTTCTGCCCCACAAGCTAAACCTGTAGTTTGTGTGATGCTGTAGTGCCTTAACCTCCTTTTGGTGCTCTCATCTCTATGTCACTTCCATCTGCTTGGCTAGTAAAATGGTATCCCAGTACACACCAGCACATGCTAACAACTGGCATATCTTCCCACCCCAGCAAGCCAGCTGCAGCCTTTCTTACATTGTCTGACAGAGAGGTGCCCTGGCAGATGAGTCTCACAGTGCTTTGACCTCTTCCAGTTGCAGACTGTGCTCTGTCCTGTGCCCTGAATCCCCTCCTAGTTCTCTCAAGATGGTCTTCAGTTCCCCTCCTGCAACTGGGTGTGGATGGGATGTCACCCTGGGATGTATCACTGGAGAAGCCAGGGTGTCTTCCTGTACTGAACATTGATAAGATCTACATGCTCTGAAAATGCAGAGACCAGGCTGCAGTCTGTATATTTGTGGAAAGCTTCTACTGATTTTTCTCTCTGATTTACTGTATCCTGCTGCTGTGGGACTGATAACCCATGTGTTACCTATGAAGCTGCTGTATTTTAATAGCTGGTATAATAATCTTGTCTTCTTACCTGGCACAATGCTTGGCTGAGAGGTTTTCAATGACTTCAGTGGGATGTACAGGTGACAGAAGCCTCTAAAATCTGACCCTTTAGATAAAAAGGTTTTAGGTAATTTGTCAGAACAGCCTCTGAGCACCTTCATGTGTCATTCTGATGTTATTCCCTACCACATAGACTGTTTTCTTTTGGTTCTGCTGCAGTGCTGCCAAAATTTGAAGTGACAGTGAAAATGCCCAAGGTGATCAGCATTCTTGATGAGGAGCTGAAGGTGACAGTTTGTGGACTGTGAGTGTCATTCTTTCAAGTTCTGCTTGGTTTCAGTGTTTTCTTGAGTTGCTGATGAAAGTTCAGTTGGGAGGCTGAGAGATGAGACTTTATTATATTTCTCAATCCTTTTGGGGTCCCGGGATCAAGCAGACTGTATCTACTATTAGACAAAAGACAACAGTTATTGTTTGATGCACTTTGCGTGTAACATATAGAAACATATTTTTGATCTGTTTTTTTGTGAGAGGGTTTCTTGCATATTTTTTGAGTCACTGAGGATTTCACACCAGCTACAGTGCTAGAGGTGAGGTCTTTAGTTCAGTTTACCCAGGAATGATGTTTTAGCTGTATCTTCTGCTTGTTATTGTGGAGAGGAAACCCTAAGGGATGCAGCTGTCCTCTTTCCTTTAGGCCACCTCACTGGATTCTGCCTTGCAGTGTTCCATACACTTTGTAGGGAAAGCCATGGCTTGGGCTGAAGAGTGAGAGTAAAGACCCAGTGCTCATACATACATAAACCAGTTCTGTAACAATTGGGTGGTTGGGTAGACGCTTGCAACATGTTCTCCAGGATGAGGGGGACTTGCAACAAAATCAGCATTAGCATATGGTACCAGATTCCTTTCTGCTTTTTATTTCCTGTGACGGCCCTGTGTATCCTGGAGGCAGCTCTAGGGAAGACAGCTGGCGTCAGTGGGTATGAGCCTGTAATTCTACATCCCTGTTACATTCCTAATGTCTTTGTTTTCCTTTCAATCCTCCCTGCTTGTAGATACACATTTGGGAAGCCTGTTCCCGGCCTTGTGAACTTCCGTGTCTGCCGGAACTATGAGCATGGATCCATGTCCTGTTATGGTGAAGAGTCTAGAGCAGTCTGTGAGGAGTTCTCTGGACAGGTGAGTCAGGATTACTCTGGTGGGAAGAGTGATTGGAGAAAGTGTTATTGAGCTTGCCTTGTAGGCACAGGCTTGCTCTGAGTATGTACAAACTTAGTGTTAAAGTGTGGTGGGGCACTGGCACAGGTTGCCCAGGGAAGCTGTGGATGCCCCATCCCTGGAAGTGTTCAAAGCCAGGCGGGATGGGGTTTTGAGCAACCTGGTCTGTTGGGAGATGGCCCTTCCTATGGCAGGGCAATTGGTGCTTAGATTGCCTTTAAGCCCCATTCCAACCAAAACCATTCTGTGATTATGTGAAAATCCATGTATTTTAAGGAAGGCTGAAGTATGAGAGAAGATTGGGTGCAAGATGAAATGTGAAAGGTAAAAATAAGGGGGAAGGTCTGAGCAATGTGTGTAAAGGCTGGAATCTGATGGAGAATTAAGAGATGAAATAACAGAAAAATCAGATGGAGTGTAGAGACTATAAGAGCAAAGACAGAAAAGCCACGAGCAATGAGAACAGAGCTGGAGTTGGCTTACACTGGAGACAGTGTGTGGGGCCAGAAGCTGGTGTTAGAGGAAGGAAAGGAGAGGAAACCAGGAGAGAGGCTGATGCATTTTGAGCAAGAAGGAAAGAAATATGGGTTTAGCAGCAGTGGTAAAGACAGACAGAAAAAAACCCCACTTTTTTCACCTTTTAACTGGCAAGAGTGAAACTGACAGGTGCAATGATATCAGGTTAATTGAGAGAAGTTGGAGTAATAAAAATTGTGGAAATATACCAGAAGAAGAAAGTATATAGAAGATGTTCTTGTGTTCCCTGGGCTCTGTTACAGCATGAGCCACATGAGTCTACAGCTATCTCTTCCACTACTGTTGTTACAAATGTCAACAGAAAATATAAATACTGTGGTGCTAACCTCTATTCTAGGCACCTCTTCTGTGGAGACTTGCCTTGTACATGAATTTGCTGAAGAGAGGTGGCAAGCTTTGGAAATACTTTTCCAGCTGTCATCCTCTTCCTACAAATACAGAGGCTTTGGTTTATGTATCACTCATATGGCTTGCACATTTTAAGTAAGCAGCTTTATTTTCCAAAGAGCCTGATGCCTGACAAACATTTCTTATGTGGCACACATTGACTAATTCCCTATGCACTCGTACTAAGTGTTGGCAGCTTCAAGCTTCACAAACATACACAAAAATTGTCTAGTTTGCAAGCCCTTTTTTCTATAATCTTGCTGGAATATCTCAATATGCTTTTGCCAAGTTATTTATGTCTTTTTTCAGTTTTGATAACAACAACAGAAGTAGGTTTTCTGTGAGGTTGTGAGCTTCTCTTTCAGTTCAGAGCAACACACAGTGATGGATTCATTAAGTTGGATAAGCGTTGTATAAATGAGAATATAATGCTCTTGTTTGTTTTCCTCCACAGACAGACATCTATGGCTGCATTTCTGAAGTGGTAAAGACCAAATTATTCCAGCTCAAGAGACGTGGATATGAGAATAAGCTCCGTGTAGAGGCTAAGATTAAAGAGGAGGATACAGGTATGGATCATCTGGATGAAAGACTCATGTGCTGGGCCAGCAGAGGGGCCTGCCCAGTAGGAATGAGGCATAAAAGCAGACTCTCTCTCGTCTGGAACCTTAGAGTTTTCCTGCCTCTAGTCCAGGACTATCAAGCAAAGAGTTTGTCCAGCAAAGGAGGGTTGGCCTAGAATAAAAGGAATTCTGGTTAGGCAGAGGCAAATTAGTTTTTGTTTCTTTCTGCAGGAGTGGAGTTGACTGGAACAAGCTTCTCTGAGATCACAGCCACCATTAGCAGGGTCATATTTGAGCGTTCAGATACTTACTACAAGCGAGGAATCCCCTTCTTTGGGCAGGTAGGGAAACCATGAGAATGGAATGCCATGAGTGCCAAGCAATGATGCTACTGAACCTTCTGGTCAGATGTATGCCCCAGCTCTGCAAGGATGCTGGACCTCAGTGCTGCTAGTCCCTGTGGGTCTCCTTTCCTCTGAAGGCTCTCAAACTGGGGAGCAGGCACTGAGAGCACAGTCTTCATTCTATCCTTGTGCCTCTGCCTCTCCAGTCCACTAAAATTCTCCTCCAATAGTCACCTGTTTAATTGGAGGCCACGGGGATGTAAGTGCATGTCATTCTCCACATCCACTCCTCTGACCCAGAGGCAGAGATAAGAAAGAGGCAGAGAAAAAGTATTCAGAAAGTTTGCAGCTGTCTCTGAAAGAGATACACATAAAGTGCTGTTGAGGCTTCCTTGTCTGACATGGGCTCAACGCCTTTACCTTGGTGTTCTACCAGTCCTGTTCAGGTGGCAGCCATCCCTCTCCTGCTAAACTGAGCTGGTTTTGCTCCTCCAGGTGAAACTAGTGGATGGGTCTAATGCTCCAATTGCCAATGAAACTGTGAGAATTTCTCTTCAAGGAGGACAGGAACAAAACTATACAACAAATGAAGAGGGCGTTGCAGAGTTTGTCCTAAACACTTCCTCATTGGCCTTGGAAAATGTTGGAATTAGGGTAAGTCCTTTGGGCAGAGAAGATAATGAAGCTCCCCACAGGGCTGGAGGGGAAGCTCTAAAATTTATACTATGTATGCAAAAGTACTTAGATTATTGTTCCTTGTTGTTTGTGTGAACTTGACACCAGTTTGGTGGAAATAGTCATACAGCAGACTGAGGTTCCAGGTCACGATTGCACTTATCTTGTAAATATTTGATTTCTGCTTAGCAATTGCAATACAGGGTTAGAAGGAACATCAGGAGATCATAATAGTCCATTCTGCTCCAAGAGATCACCAGCCCTATCTAGTTAAGGGTGGCTCTGTCTCCCGTCTGTGCATCTGAGAGTTTCAGAGTTTAATTTAGCATTTCAAGTTGCTAAGTACATCTCCTGTTGTTTTTTTGTTTTTGTTTGTTTGTTTGTTTGTTTGGGGGGTGGTTTGTGTTTGTTCGTTTGGTTTTGCTTTGTTTTGGTTTGTTGTGGAATTTGTTTTTCTGGGACAAAGAGGTGCTGCTGAGCATCTTCTTGTTAGTGGGAAATGCAATTTGTTGTGTAATATGCATGTTTTGTAATATCACATCCTGGAGTAGGGGAGAATAATTGTGTCTAGAATTATATTTGCTCTACTCTCTACAAGTCCCTTGTCACACACTAAAACCATTAAGATTTTTCCAGAAGTTACTACCAGATAGTTGAAGTTTTCAGATTTTTGTAGGATAAAGAAAAGGCAAGGATTCCCAAGTAATGAGAAAGATGAAGAAAAAAGGGCATATGAGACATATCAAATTCTGAAGCGCCCTTCTAAATGTGAAAGATCTTCCCCTTGCTCTCATTTTTAAGAGGACCTGAACTCTCTCCTCCTAAACTTCTATTCAGTTTAAATTTTAAATTATTAGTTGGAGATTGTCCTTCTTTTTTATAACATCTGTAGCTTTATCTTGCCACTGGAAATATCTGAACTGAACAGCACTATCCCTTCTTCAGTGCCAATGATAAGGAAAGAAATGCAAATTGTCATTTTTTTCCCTTTAGACTAACTAGAATATTAGAGAGGGCAAGGCATTAGTGTAAAAAGCCCTTAAGGTGACACTGATAGCAAACAAAAATCTGATATGGTTCATCTTGTTTTACACAAACTCCAGCTTCTGTGGGAGTGAGATCATTCCCAATGATTTGCTAAAGATACCACCATCCTGTCTTGCACTTTCCAAACTCATGTGTTGGGGTTTGTTTTTTTTTTTTTTTTTTTTTTTGTAGACTTTCGTATTACTTCTGTACCAAAAAAATACTAAAGCTTTAATATTACGCTGTGAATTTTTGTCTCCAGTTTGGCCACCTGTGTTTGAGGATCTATGTATGTATTTTCTCCTTTTCCAGGCAGTTCATAAAAACCACATCTTCTGCTATGATCATAACTGGGTTGTTCCATCTTATGGAGAACGTTATCTGCAACTAAAGCGCTTTTACTCTCCCAGTAATAGCTTCCTCAAAATTGAGCCCAAGTCCAAGCCACTAAGCTGTGGCTCCACCACAGACATCTGGGTGCATTATATCCTTACTCCAGCAGCTGTAGGAGAGCAGAAGAAAATCACCTTTTACTACCTGGTAAGTTTGCACCTGCCATACAGTGAGGTTATCACTGGCAGTTATAGGGGGATTAGAAATAAAAGCTATGGTTTGTGGCAGTGGTCTTTAAACACTTTCTTGTCATCCTTCACATGTTCTTTAGAAACAAAAAGGAGGGTCTGAGTTGGGAGTAAAAAGTAAGGATGTCCCTGTACCCTCTAGGTGAGCACAGGGATTCTGCTACAGGGAGGCAGAGAGCTGGGGGTGTGCAGCAGACACAGAGCTCTCCTTGCTCTCCTCCCTCACTTTCAGGTTTGGCTAATGCAAAACCACAATCACAACAAAGTTTTTCCTTCCATTCAGGTGATGACCAAGGGAAACATTAAGCAAGGAGGCACTCACATTCTGGATTTGGACCAGGAAAGTGGTGAGTTCCTCTCCCCCACTAAATTTTCACTCTTATGGGGGGCTAGGCAACTGTGGCATACACTCTGCTTCCATGTAAATGCAGGGATTGACATGTGCATGTCCTCTAAGATCTGGGAAAAGTTTGACCTTTATTTTCTCTGCCTTTAGGCTTTTCAGAGATTTGCTCTAGTCCCCTGTGCCACTATCTTTCTCCTGACACTGCATTTTCTGGGGCTCCAGTGCTCCTCAGAGATACATCTGATAGTCTGTTTTGAGAAGCTGAAGCAAAATTCAGCATACTTATGCACTGGAAAACAGGCCTTTTTAGTCAGACAGGGAGACTTATACATCATGTGAGCACCAATTCATCCTACTTGGATGCCTGGAATTTCATACTGGTTATGATAGAGTTCAGCATAAAGTCAAACCTAGAATTTTGACTGCTCTAAGAGAAAGTTTTTTGCACCTTAACTTTTTGCCATTGTTTTGTTTGCTAGACAATGGTGCCTTCTCACTACAGCTGTCTGTACAAGCTGATATTGCTCCAGTGGCCCAAGTGCTGGTCTACACCACAGTCTCCAGCAAGGAGGTGATTGCTGATTCAGCCAAGTTCTACACAGAATTATGTTTCAACAATAAGGTTAGTGTCCACTTCCTGAGGGGGCAGCCACAAGACTGCAGTGTGTTCAAGCTGACTTATTTAGATTCAGCCTGGTTAAGCTAATTTCTTTAGGTACACTAACACTGGACAGGCAACATATCAATTGCTGTAGGTAGCTTCACTACTTACTGGTTTTTGCTAACCTGGAGGAGGTCAACTGCTGGAAAAAAAGCGCTAGCAGGGGCTACACTGATAAAACCCCCTTTAGCAACTGGTCAAACTGCTGATCCTGCAGATGGTCCGTGCTAAGAAAAAGAGAGCAACAGCAAGGTCTTTGCAAGCTGATTTTCTCTCCACATACAGTTTCTGGGTGCAGTAAAGTGACTGATCCTAGTTCAAGGACATGCTCCACTGTCTGATCACATCTAGCCCCTATGTGGGATTGCCTCATCGCACTCACAATGTGAGTGAAAACCCACAACCACCTTAAAAATTTTATGAGTGATTATGATGCTTGAAGTTGCCAAGATCTCTTGGTGCTGATTCCCCTGGCACTGCTGGAAGGGAGCAGTAGCCCAGAGGAAGTGTAGAGGGAAGTGAGCATGGGTATGGGGACCTTGTAAAACTAGAACTGGATGCACTCACCTGGAAGGAAAAGTCCTGTGAGGGTAGGGCATCTGTGACATAGCCTTTCCTGTCCTTACAGGTGGACTTAAGCTTCTCCCCTTCGGAAGGCCTGCCTTCCTCAGATGCTCACTTGCAGTTCCAAGCCTCGCCGAACTCCCTCTGTGCTGTGCGTGCTGTGGACAAGAGTGTGCTCCTGATGAAGCCAGAAGCTGACCTGTCACCCACCTCCGTAAGTTCTTGGTCTGTGGAACAAGTCAGAGCCTGCTCAGAGCAAGAGCAGCCAGTGCTGGAGTGGAAGCAGGGAACAGTCCCTCTTGTCAGAGCTGACACAGGGAGGCTCCCCTGTGCTGCTTCTCATCTTCCTCCAGTGGGCAAAAAGATGAGAACTGGGCAGCAGTTGTTTCTTAGGGGTTTTGTGTGATTTTAGGGATGGCAGTTAGAAAGCCTTTTTAAGGGGCCTGCTTGTCTTGGCCAGAGCCAAATGCTGTTGTGTGTTTGATGATAATTTTTCAGTTACTCTCCTCATGCATGGATTAATTTTCTTGGGGTAGCATCTGGAAGTGTCAAAGAGTTTATTTGCCTTTTGCCAAGCAGAAAATGACAATCCCTGAGTAGGGACAAGGTATTGCAGATGGTTTGGCCAATGTAATTTTTTACATATTTGAGCCATAATAACCAGAGTAACATGCAGAGCATAAAAAAAGAGGCAGAATCTCCAAATTTTGATCCTTTTTTTGATTCCCAAATTCTTACTGCTCTCAGCACAGGGAGGACCATGTCAATGTGGATGTATGAGCTGTTGATGTGACTGTTGTGGTGCTTGCATCCAACTCCCTCAGTTGTGTTTCCTAACAATGGACACTAAAATGCCAAATACTCTCTTTCTGCCAAGGTGTATGACTTACTTCCAGTGAAGGAATTCCATGGCTATGTCTATGATTCAAGAGTACCCTTGGAGGAGTCCCCATGGGATTGCATGACTGTGGAGCCAATAGTTCAGGATGGGATCACCTATGTTGCAGTAATGGGGGCGAATGAAGAGGACACTTACAGCATCCTAAAGGTATAGCTCCCCTGGCCTGGTTAGGGAGTGGAGTAGGAGAATGTTTGAGAATGCTTAAGTCTTCTGTGGCATCATGAAACTTAGCAGGGGAAGGGTTTCTGCATCTGAATGACCTGGCACTTCTTTTTATCCAGAGGCATATTCAGTGAGGATCATAAGCTTTACTTGTCTTGCCAGATATGCTTCACACTTGGTGGAAAAGGGATCAGTCTCAAAGTTTTCTTGCAAGGAAAGGTTTGAGGTTGACTTGAAGTGAGATTCTAATTGGAGGTAAATGATCCCATGCCATTATAGTTACCTCAGATAAATCAGTATGTCCTTGAGCTGCATTGTAGCCACAGATATTTCATTCCAGAGAGAAAACTTTATATCTACTTCCTGGCTAATCCTGTCACCTAGGCTGAAATTGGACTGGAACCAGTGTCCTAGAAAAAGAGGAGATAAATCCTTTGGTCTCTCTGAGCCACCCAGGCACTCAGACCCAAGGACCAGGGGATCATCTCAAGGCCCAATCCATACACAGTAACAGCTTCTCCATTTTGAGGTGGTAAAATGCCAATGTCAAGTCTGCTGTGTAAATCTCAACAGGATTCAGTAATAAAAAGGCATGTTTGGTTTTTCTCCCATAGGAGATGGGTTTAAAGGTTTTCACAAATACCAACGTGAAGAAACCTCGGATTTGCAGCCCGAGTAATCACATGTACTCTGCCCATTTATCAGCTGACCTAGGAGTACCTGCAGCCAGGGTTGCAGAACCCATGTATGCAATGAGGGCAAGCGGTAAGGGAACTCAGTGTTGTTATTGCTTCTGTTCTCAACAGAGATCCTGTTTGTGTTTTGGGGTAAATACTTAAACAGGAGCTGGGGCTGTGAATTGAAACCTTGGAAGCAGTTCTGAGCTGATGGGTTCGCAGATTTCAGCTTCTGAATGTATTGTGCAGGTCTACAGACAAACTTTGGTAACTCTACATAAGAAATCAGCAGAACCAGACAGTGTGCAAAGCCTGGCAGATCCTGCTGATAAAGTCTCTGTTCATTAGGCTTTTACAGTAGAGTTCTATTCCTAGATTATCACTTACAGAGTCTCCAATACCATTTTCAGGCTGTTCTCATTGACTCACCCATTCTTATGTATGGTCAAAACCATGAAGTGGGTGGCAAATTTTTCACAGTGATGAGTTGGTAGACTTTGGGAGCTTAGCATGGTAAGACCTATATGATAGAAGTCCAGTCTGAAATGGATCCATCCTATTATCCTATTTTTAAGAGCTATCTTAATTCTTACACTGTAATAGTTAGGGCAACAGAATTGGCCCTATCATCCTTCAGTCTCATATTAAGGAAAATATCTTAGAATTTTTAAGTTATTCTAGCTGGATAGCTGATTCAAAGAGTTTTCCTTTGGCACTAGAACCTGTGCTTTTGTATGTGTCCAGTTTGAAAACAATTTCAGCTTCTGACAGAAGTTGCTAAGATGGAGGATAGATGCCTTTCAATTATTTTAAACTGAAATAACCACCACTAAGAAGACTGAAATACTACAATAGAAAAACAAAAGCAAGCAGCCTGCCACTTTTGCCAGGAGCAATGTGATATAGCTCTGATAGCATCTTTCACCTGTCCCTGAGACCTTCTCAGGCTCTGGAGATGCCTGTTGCAGTTAGTATAAATATTTGTTGGCTACTCAATTGTTATCCAAATGCAGAAATTCAATTAGCCAAAGTAAATATGCCAAAAATTAGAATTTCTTTAAGAACTTTTCTTCTTTTTCTGCTTGGATGCATTTCTCTTTCTGTTTGTGAAAGCCAAGCAAACCAAGTCCCACCCACCCCATCTCTGGTTTCCAGTTATTGAAAAATAAAGTAAAACAAAATGTTTAAACAAATTTCATCTCAAAGACATAATATTTTATTTGGAATAAATTTTGTATGTGAAAACTTGGTTTTCATCAAAATAGCTCTTTTTACCCTTCCTGTATTCCAGCTGCTTGTTTTTATTTTGAGCATTTTCAGCCTAGTTCTTGAGGAGGCCATAGCTTTGACAGGAAGTTGGTACACTGTGTCACAATGACCCTACAAAAACCACTTCAACAGAGGGATGTTCCATTGCTGGCTGGACTGATTAGGATGGAGAGGAACATCACATGAAGGCTGCTTGTATGGAAGGTCCTAAATAGGTTTTTGCTCTAAATCCTTTTTTTCTTTTTTAAGCTGTAAAGTGCTGGCTTCCAAACTTTGAGGTCTGCTGGAGACCAGCAGAAAATTATGGAAGGTTAGCTCTTCTTGCCAATAAGCCCTGGCCCTGAAACTCCACTGCTGTTGGTACCACAGCTCACTACAACCACAAGCATCTGCTTCTGATTGACACTTTCTCAGATTGAAGCATGATGCTGATATGGGTCTTGCTTGTTTGGAATTACCAATAGTTGATTTCTTTTTCATCTCTCCACATTCAGGCATTCCATCAGAGAGAATTTCTAACCAATTAAGCACTCCTGAAGAGGTGACAGAGACAGTCCGAAAGTATTTCCCAGAAACCTGGATTTGGAGTTTAGTACCTATAAGGTGAGTACCTTGGGCTACCTCATTCCTTTTTCATAAAATTGGGCTTATAATATGAAAACAGGAATCCCAAAGTGTTTGTCCTTCATTGTTTGCAGAGACTATTTGGCAATCCTTTGAGATGAAATTACTTTCAGCCATTATTAGGTCTGTCCAAAGAGTGGACAGGAAGATGTAGAGTGGTCCTACAGTAGCAAATGTACTGTGCCCCATCATTCACACAGCAAATACTGTTCAGTATGCCAAAAGGGGTGCAGGTAGTCACCAAAATGCTGTAACATTGATCCCTCTGTCCTTGCTGTCTGTGCTTTACCAGCTCTGAGGGAAAAGCTGATCTAGAAGTGACCATCCCTGACACCATCACTGAGTGGAAAGCCAATGCATTCTGCACTTCAGCAGACACAGGCTTTGGCCTGTCCCCAACAGTGTCCCTCAGAGCCTTCCAGCCCTTCTTTGTGGAGCTCACCATGCCCTACTCTGTGGTGCGTGGGGAGTCCTTCACGCTGAAAGCCACCGTTTTCAACTACCTGCCTGCCTGCATCAGGGTAAGGGAGGTTTAAATTACTCTCTCTAGCTGGGTACCTTCTTGTGCCCTCCTTGCCTTCACCTAGCCTTCTTACCTTATCTCTCAGTAGCCCTTAGACCCTTTGTCACAGCTTTTTATATTATTTCTTCTATACACTCCAAATGCAGAACCCACAACTCCAGTTCCCTGCTCCTTTGCTACTGAAGAAATAGCTGTTTCTATGGCTTCCTAGCTCCCTGTTTCTCATGATCACCCTTAACTGCATCTCTCTCTACAACTGGCAGGTCAGTGTGACTCTGGCTCAGTCTACTCATTTCCTGGCTACTCCGGTGGAAAAGGAGGAAGAATCTCATTGTCTCTGTGAGAATGGGAGGAAAACCATGGCTTGGCTGGTGACTCCCAAATCTCTAGGTAAAGGTCTCAGGGTTTCCTGAAAACTGCAGGAAGGATTTCTTTGTGCTGTTCTCCCTGTTCAGTATTGGATATCAGAGCAACACATTTTTCTGGGAAGCATTTCAGTTGCGTGTGACTGATCTGGGGCACAAAGACTGATATTTGGGAGGCAAAGATTGGGGGATTCATAGGGTCCAACTGTGTGTCTGGCATCACATCCAGGACCATCAAGCCTTATAGCCCTTGGACAGCATCTCCTGAGGCCAGAGACATTGCTGGCCAGCAGAGATGTTCTGCTAGCTCCATTCCTCCCAGAGATTAGGGAGGACGTGGGATCTTCACACTTTGTTTTCACTGTTGGTGTGGTAGCAGCTTTGGCATGCATGCAGGGGAGCATGTGCTGAACAGCAGTGGGGCTGGTCACACTCAGCTCTGTGGTGTCCTAGGTTCTGTGAAAGAGTCTCCAAAATAGAGTCACCTTTCAATAACAGCACAGCTCATGTAGAGACCTTGGGTTTTGTGGGAAAGAAGCAGGGCCCAGCTGTGACGGAAATCTCCATCCATGAGCCTGCCAGGTGAAACTCCTGAATGTAGCAGTGAATCCCATTGCATGTCTGTGCCTGGCAGGGCTGACTGACCCCTGTTTCCTCCAGGGCAAGTGGAGTTCTCAGTGACCACTGAGGCCCTACAGAACCAGCAGCCCTGTGGGAACTACATTGTGGAGACCCCTGAGAAAGGGAGGAAGGACACGGTCATCAGGCAGCTGCTGGTGGAGGTACGTGGGAAGGGAGGACTGAGCCTTTACCTCACGCAGTGATACAACTGCAGGAGAAGCTAGATAATCTCATCTAGCTCCCTTTCTTGTCAAAGGTTGGACCAGATGATCTTTTGAGATCCCTTCTAACCTGGTCTGGTCCATGATTTTATGGCATCGTTACCCAGCATGGCAGTATAATTGTTTTGCATCATCTTTGTACTTTGGCAGGGCTGCATAAAGACTTCAGCTTAATAATGTGCCTTGTGTCTCCTGGTGACTTTTCCTATAACTTCTACTGTAACTGCAATCCATCTTCCCTTTAGCTGCCATCTAAGCAGGTCTCCCATCACCTGCTGTTTCAATACAGTGTCTTTACAGCCTCTCTCCTTCTTTTGACACACCCCCAATAAATGTGCCAGTCAGCACATGCTGCCCCTCTGCCTCAGAGTGGCCAAACAAACTGCCTCTTAAGCTGAGTGTTTTGCAATTACGGTTTGGTTACAAAGACTGGCCCAGGACAAAGGTGAGGGATTCACAAGCACCTATGGGAATTTGATGACTGTAAAGAAATCACCTTAAACTACACATGAAAACATGTTGAAATTTTACAGCTTACCCATTTCCTGTGGCAGGAAGAGTTGCTGATGTGATGTGGAACAGAAGGGAATACTATGTGGCAGTATTGGATAGCCTTTACAGGAAATTATTAGTTTATTATTTACTGAGGGTAGTAATCTGGCAGTGGGGTTCTATGTTCTGAGCTTTCCTCCGTATCATAAAACCCCCTAATGTTTGCCCACCATGTGCTATCAGTAGTGTCAACAGATACTACAGCGTACTACATCCTCCATTTCTATTGTTTGCATGCACAATTTTTTTCCCCTAAAGCATCTGGAGCATTACAATAAATAGGACTGCAGACTTCTCTTCAGCACAGCCCTCTGTAATGCTGCAGTCCCTTTGTCACAAGGACGTTTAAGTGTCTCTCACTGAGTGCAATAGTTGCAGGTCATCCATTTGATGGTCCTCCAGTGTTCTCTTTTTTCTGTCCTTCCTCCACATACAACCAACACCAGTCATTTAGGACCACATTTCTTTTATTTTCTTAAATTATTTCAGTGCTCTGTATTTCAGGGAATGTTTGTGACTGCCTCTCCTTCTTCAGTTCCCTCACTTTTCTTTTTACATATCCCTCTGTCCTTGTGAGGATTCCTGTCTGTATTTCCTGTCTCACTAATTTCTCACCTTTCTTGTTTTCCTTCATCCCATCCAAGCCTGAAGGAATTGAGAAGGAAACAACCCAGAATTCTGTGCTCTGTGTAAAAGGTAAAGCCCGCTCTTTGCACACTCTCAATTTGTTGCTGTGTGGTTTGATGGGTGGGATGTTGGAGGCCTGCCTCTATCATATTCCATGTAGTCTGACATTTTTGGGTATTCAAAACATGCCCCATTGGTAGGGAGTTTGAGACATAAGACAGAAGAAAGTCCTAAAGAATTGACCCTCCTGCCTAAGTATGGTATGAGCTAGGACAGATTTAGGATGGATTTTTGCATCCCTACTCTCTTTAGTTCTGGCACAGGAGTTACATGTCCTCTTGTTTTCTTGCACACTCAGGAGGAAGCTGTAGACACATGATCTGCAGTGCCTTGAAGTGGCTGGGAGTGGTTTCATGCAGAGACTGTGTTACAGCCAGGGAAATATGAAGTAACTGAAATCAGGGCATTTCTAATAGGAAGAGTTCCTGTTGTTGTACTGAGACCCCCTCCCCTTCCATTAGCCATTTCTTGGAACTGCACTGAAGCTGTTTGGGTCTTGTTTCTTTCTCAGGAGTGCCTGTGAAAGAGGAGTTTTCCCTATTGCTACCTGAAAATGTGGTACAAGACTCAGGCAGAGCATATTTCTCAGTGCTGGGTGAGTTAACAGCCTCACAGTAGAACCATGTGCTGTTTCTGACTCCTTGTGTTGACCTCCTACCTCACAGCTTTTTCTCTTGGTTTCTAGCACAGCTCATTCTTGTGTTTAATCTCTTCTGTCCTGAGCACTTTCCCTTCTGTTTGTGCTATTCCTTTTCCTTTTCTGCAAGCCTTTTTTCTCATCCTTCTCACCTTTCTCTCCTCCCCTAACCTTTTTCTCATTTCCCTTTTTTCTTTTTCTCTGATGTTCTGTGTTTTGTTCCAGGATCTTTATCAATCCACATTATCTTTTGTTCTTCTCTGATATCTCCTGCATCTGTTATTCAGTAGCTTCCCCTGATTCTGATAGCCAGCCCTAAATATTGTTAACATCCCTATGGTATCTCCTGCTCCTCAGGTGACATCATGGGCACTGCCATGCAGAACCTGCACCAGCTCCTCCAGATGCCCTTTGGCTGTGGGGAGCAGAACATGGTCCTGTTTGCCCCCAACATCTATGTCCTGGACTATCTGAACAAGACAGGGCAGCTGAGTGAGGAGATCAAATCCAAGGCCACTGGATACTTAGTGAGCGGTGAGCTGGAACATGGATTCTGCTTCTGCTTTGGCTTTTTTCTGGATCCTGCCTGGAGTAGATTTGCCAAATGCTGGCCAGATGTTGAAAGTGGTCTTCTCTCATACACAGATGGTCTCTGCTGTATGCCTGAGGGGGCCCTTTGCTGCTTTTTTCTTTATTAATTTGTGTTGCTTAAGCATTACTGTACCTGATCATTGCAAGTACTTTTCTCATGGGGTGGCAATGCAGTGCAGAGTTGTCACTGCTACCATGACTCACTCATTGTCATTTATAAGTCCTGTCATCCTTCTGAAGAAAGGCAGGTGTTGCTTTTCCTCATTCATGGAGGTGGGGATGTAGCAGCACTGCATATTGGTTAGGATAGGACTGACCTATGCCTCTCTCATTTGCTTTTGCTGATGGAGCTTTTTTTCTATTTTCCCATCCCTCAGCAGACTCTTTCTTGCATCTGAATGTTGCCTTATCTTTCCATTGCAGGTTATCAGAGGCAGCTGAACTACAAGCACCATGATGGTTCTTACAGTACCTTTGGACAACGTTATGGCCAACCAGGGAATACCTGGTGAGATTTCAATGCCACCCATGCATCTCCAATAAGCTCCTCTTTCTCACCCACACATTTATAATAAATACTGCCTGACAGTAAATAGGAAATTCTGTTGTAGACCAGCAGGCTTTCCAGAGCTGGTTTGGTCCCTAGGCTGCCTCCTTCTTAATAAAGAGGCTACATCAGCCAGCTTATGGCTGAAGTGCTTCCACCCAGTGGCTCCAAGGACAACTACAAACAAAAAGAAAATAGAGATAAACTGGGGAAGAAGGGAGCCAGGATTTAACACCCTGACTGAAGAAGGTTGAAAAGTTGCAGTGGCAGCTCTTCTAGACTAGCATCTGCTGAGAAGTCTGCTGGAAAAGATGGTTCTGTATGGAAACATATGAGGAAACACAAGTGGAAAGGTTGATAGTCCAAGAACAGTGCTGAATGTTTTTTTTCCTAAGTGTTTGTATGCTACTAAGCAAAGACAGGCTGGAGGAGCATGTGTGTTGCCATTTTGACTTATTGAAAAGTTTTGACTTGCTCCTGTATATCATTTTCATGTGCTTTCAATTTCAAGTAAGGATAATAACGGAAGAACTCATCACCCTCAGTTTGCTTTTAGTTTCTGAAATGGTAATTGGCTTTTGACAGCATGTTGGCTTCTTACCACATGCCTGCTTCTTTTCCATAACTGCTTGCAACAGCTCTTAACAAAAACTCTTTTAACATGTTCTGCTTTACTTTAAAATTCTAGGGTAGTTCTGGGAAACCCATGAAGCATGGATTTACAGTTTAAGAGTTCTACCAGCAGACCATGAGCTTGCAGGAATTTAATTATTCTTCCTTGTAATTTTGAGTACTTCTCTTATGCATATTTAACTAATTGGCATGCAATTACGGATATTTTTCAAAGAGCTTTTTTCAAAGACAGATCAACAATCATTGTCCTTCAAACTGTAGCCTCAATACAAAGAGATCACAGGGTTTTTTGAGCCAAGAATGAGAGACAAAAATCAAAGTGGAAAGCAATTTTTGGACAGAATTTTTTGAGGTGAGGATATAATATACATATGGTCTGACTAATTGGCCCACAGTTTCCCAGGTCCGCTTGCGTGTTTCCAGATAGATGAAGTGTACATGGGCCCTCTCAATTTAAATGGGCAACAGGCCTGCTCAGGCCCTTTCTTTTTCTCACTTTCAGGCTCACAGCCTTTGTCCTCAAGTCCTTTGCCCAGGCCCGGCATCACATCTTCATAGAGGAGAAGCACATCCAGGATGCTTTGATCTGGCTGTCTTACAAACAGAAGGAGAACGGCTGTTTCCAGAGTTCTGGGACACTCCTGAACAACGCCATGAAGGTAACAAGTCTGCCTGGTTGTTTCTTTGTGAGGCTAGAACTTGGCCATAAGTCAGATGGGGCCAGTTGAGCTTCTTGAGCACATAGGGAGATGGGATATACCCATGCCAATGGCAAATGTTGGGGAGGGAGCCACATACTGTTCTGTACTTATTTGAGATACCTTCAGGTCAGCTGCAAAAGGAAGGAGGCAAGCTAAAGGACTGCAATGCAGAATAGTGCACTGCTCCTACTGGAGTGGAAGAAAAGACTGAGGATATGAAGGTGGGTGGGGTCAGCATCTACCTTTGTGTTTCCCTGCAGGGTGGAGTGGACAACGAGGCCACGCTGACAGCCTACATCACTATCGCGTTGCTGGAGATTCCCCTGCCCGTGACTGTATGTGTCTGCATCCTAACTTGGGCCACTTGTGCTGTGTCAGTCAACATAGTATTCACCAGAATTTGCTCCAGATTGGAAAAATTACTTGGTTGTTGAACCCTGTGGTATAATAACTGTCATATTTGCTATATATGGGAAGTATTGTACACTACTTGTTTCTAGACCTCCTTCCGTCAGTCCCCTCCTGAAAGTTCAGTAGGATGGTGTGCTTTCAGTAAGGCAAAAGCCTCATTTCTCCCCACCCTCCTAATCACTGGATTCCTTTCCCCAGCACTCAGTGGTGCGGAATGCTCTGTTCTGCCTGGAAACAGCAGCAAATCAGAAGGAAAACCATGTGTACACCAAGGCACTGCTGGCATACGCCTTTGCCCTGGCAGGGAAAAGGGACCAGCGGAAGGCATTGCTTGACTCACTTGAAAAGGAAGCTGTGAGAAAGGGTGAGTGTTCCTGGTGGGACGTGGCTTTCACCAGCCTTACACCTTCCCTTGGCAGATTGGCTTTTGCTGGTGGGGCAGTGGCTGCAGGCACTGGCCTTGGTGGGTAGGGAAAGGTGCAGGGAGAGGAAAGACTTGTGCAAAGGGATTACTTTTCTGAGAGGTTCCTCTCAGGGCCCAGTCCTTCTTCTCTGCCCCAAAGGAGCTCACCAGGAAGCACCAGGCACCATTCCCTTGGTGCTGAGCCCTTGGGGGGCTCTGCTCCCATCTCTCCTCAGCCCCCTCCTCTTGCCACGCCAGGCACTGCTTAGCAAAGGCTTAGCAATGCCCAGGGACATTCCTTCCTTCCTTCCTTCCTTCCTTCCTTCCTTCCTCCTTCCGGTCCTTCCTTCCTTCCTTCCTTCCTTCTTCCTTCCTTCCTTCCTTCCTTCCTTCCTTCCTTCCTTCCTTCCTTCCTTCCTTCCTTCCTTCCTTCCTTCCTTCCTTCCTTCCTTCTTCCTTCCTTCCTTCCTTCCTTCCTTCCTTCCTTCCTTCCTTCCTTCCTTCCTTCCTTCCTTCCTCTCCTTCCTTCCTTCCTTCCTTCCTTCCTTCCCTTCCTTCCTTCCTTCTCCTTCCTTCCTTCCTTCCTTCCCTTCCTCCTTCCTTCCTTCCTTCCTTCTTCCTTCCTTCCTTCCTTCCTTCCTTCCTTCCTTCCTTCCTTCCTTCCTTCCTTCCTTCCTTCCTTCCTTCCTTCCTTCCATCCTTCCTTCCTTCCTTCCTTCCTTCCTTCCTTCCTTCCTCTTCCTTCTTCCTTCCTTCCTTCCTTCCTTCCTTCCTTCCTTCCTTCCTTCCTTCCTTCCTTCCTTCCTTCCTTCCTTCCTTCCTTCCTTCCTTCCTTCCTTCCTTCCTTCCTTCCTTCCTTCCTTCCTTCCTTCCTTCCTTCCTTCCTTCCTTCCTTCCTTCCTTCCTCCTTCCTTCCTTCTTCCTTCCTTCCTTCCTTCCTTCCTTCCTTCCTTCCTTCCTTCCTTCCTTCCTTCTCCTTCCTTCCTTCCTTCCTTCCTTCCTTCCTTCCTTCCTTCCTTCCTTCCTTCCTTCCTTCCTTCCTTCCTTCCTTCCTTCCTTCCTTCCTTCCTTCCTTCCTTCCTTCCTTCCTTCCTTCCTTCCTTCCTTCCTTCCTTCCTTCCTCCCTCCCTCCCTTCCTCCCTGCCTCCCTCCCTCCCTCCCTCCCAGGGCATGGGCTCAACACAGAACAAAGGGGACATTGCAGAGCACAAGGCATGTCAGTCAGAGGAGAGATGGGTGTGCTGAGAGAGAAAATGAGCATCCAGGGCATCTTGGAGGCTGCAGCACAAGTCTCAGTTGTCAGGGGAAATCCTCTAATCCTTCAGAATTGTTCTGTTGAAGTCAGGCTGGGACAGTGGTTTTAACCAAGCTGTGGGGACTGTAGCCCATAAAGGTGAATGTGGAATCTAGGACAAAGTGGTGTCTAGGCCTGAGGCTCACTCAGCAGTCTCATACTCATTGTAAACCTGCAAAATGTGTACACCCGACCCTTCCCACTTCACCCTGCATGACAGACACCATCCCGGAGGCTGCGTCCTCCCAGCTGGGTCAGGCAGCAGGTCAGGAAGTGCCTTGCAGTATTTCCCGAGTAACAGCTGCTTGCTGTCTCTCTCCCTGGCTCCTGTGAAGATGGCTCTGTTCACTGGCAGCGGCCTGGCAAGGAGCCCGAGGCTGATCTCCCGTTCCATCGCTACCGAGCTCCCTCTGCGGAGTGGAGATGACGGCCTACGTGCTGCTGGCCCAGCTCACCTCGCAGCCAGCCCCTGCCCAGGAGGAGCTGGCTTCTGCATCCCTCATTGCAAAGTGGATCAGCAGCCAGCAGAACCCCAATGGAGGCTTCTCCTCTACCCAGGTGAGCTGCTTCCCTCCGGCCACCTCACACCCTTGAGGTGTCCAGAAGATGGCACATGTCAGAGAGCCAGGTGGGAGCACAGGAAGTTTTGGCAGGAAGGGTGGGAAGTGTAGCCCTGCAATGGATCCATGCAGTACCTCCCATGGCTGCCAAGTTCCTGAGAGGCTGCAGACAAATATGTCAGGTAGTGCCCCTGGGAAGGGGAAATATGCTGAAGCTGCTCTTGCCCTCTGTCTTTTCTTCTTACCACTTTTGGAGAAAGTGAGGATGGAGGGGAGGGTGCCAGCTGGCAGAGAGGGCAGGCTGTAGGAGGACAGGCTACAGGAGGAGAGGCTCATTGCATGCCCTGCTGGGACGCTGGGACTCGTCTCTTTCAGGACACAGTGGTGGCTCTCAAGCCTTGTCCCTGTACGGAGCTGCCACCTATGCCAAGAGCGGGCAGCTTCCAAAGTGGCCCTGCACTCTGGAGGGGGACTTCCAGCAAGACTTCCAAGTGGATCCCAGCAAACCGGCTGCTGCTCCAGCGCGTGCCCCCTTGCCCAGGTGCCAGGGCAGTACAGCGTGGAGGTGTCTGGTGAAGGATGCGTCTACCTGCAGGTGAGCTGATGGGGACAGCGGGCATCCTGGAGGGGAGCCCCTGGCCAGGCTGGAGAGGACACAATCATAGCATCATCCAGGCTGAAAACACCCTGAGATCATCAAATCTTTCATGGAGGTAGAGGAGAGTAAAGAACAGGAGAGAGGGGAGAGGTGCGTGGCTGTGGGTAAAGGACAGAAGATAGAAAGAGTAGAGGGATGTGGAAGAGAGAGTGGCACTCAAGGAGAGCAGTCTCTGCAGTGTGGAGGAGCTGTGAGGAGTGGGGAGGTGGGTGTGAGAGGGGCCCCTCTCTCCCACGTGGAGCACACACCTCCTCACAGACACTCACCCAGAGCTGCTGGCTGTCCCCTAGACCAGCCTGAGGTACAATGTGCAGCCCACAAAGGAGGAGGCGCCCTTCATGCTTCATGTGCACACAGTCCCGGAGGCCTGCGGGGACTCCACAGCTCACAAGGTCTTTGACGTTGCCATAATGTCAGGTGAGTCTGCATTCCGGTCTGAGCTTTCCTCTTGAGCCCTGGGAGCTGGGGGAGGTCTGGTTGTGCCCGGGGGGGAGGCACTCTGAGAGTGCAGCACATTCCTGGGAAGGTGGGCAGGAGGCGGCTGCTCTGTGAGGAGAGGCTCTGGAGGAAGGATTTGTGCTGCTGTGTGGGCAGCCCAGGGCTGGGCTGGAGGGAGGCTGTGCAGATGACTAGGAGAACGTGGCACAGCTGGAGAGGAAGGTGCTGGACTGCCAGGACTTAGTGGGATGCCAAGTGTTATGGAAAAGCTGGAAGCGTGCCCAGCTCTGAGTTGATGTGCACTGGATCTTTGTTGCTTGGTTCCTCAGTTACACAGGGGAGCGCAATGTCTCCAACATGGTGATTGTGGATGTGAAGATGCTGTCAGGATTTGTCCCCTTGAAGTCCTCAGTGAGGAAGGTAGGAGCTTGTTTGTGATATGAGCAACATTGAATCATAGTCATTATGGTTGAAAAAGATCTCCATGTGCACCCTTCCACCAAATAGAACCAGACCCACTTATTATCATATCACAAAGTGCCCCATCTACTCTTTTTTTTTAACTTTTCCAGGAATCATGACTTCACTACTTTCCCACAAAGCCTGTTCTCATGCTTATTCTCTCTTTCAGTGAAGCAATTTCTCCTAATATTCAACATTAATCTCCCCTGTCACAACTTGGGGACATTTCCTCTTGTTCCATTTCTGTATGCCTGGGAGGAGAGACTGTCCCTTGCCTCACTGCAACCTCCTTCCAGGGAGTTGTAGAGAGCAATAAGGTTCCCTTGAGCCTTCTTTTCTTCAGACTAAACAATCTCAGTACCCTCAGCCGCTCCTCATAAGACTTACATTCCAGTCCCGTTTCCAAGATCATTGTCTTTCTTTGGAATTGCTCCAAGGTCTGAAGTGAGGGGTCCAAAACTGAGTGTAGAATTCAATGTGCAGCATCACCAGTGCTGAATACAAAGGGAAAACATCCACTTTCCTATATTTGAGAGACCTTTCAAATGTCTGTAGCAAAGGACAAAGCTTCAGCTTGATTTTGTCACTGTCATTTGCACATTTGACATGTACAGTAGTCTCTTTTCATGCATGGCTTAAGGCCAGCACAAGGGGAGACGACGTGATCAGTCTAAGAAAAAATAGAATAAGTAATTTTTTCTTTAGACTGGTGATGGGCATTTTCATTTCACTGTGTCCCAACAGCTCCCCATAAACATCGTCTGTGCGTAGTACATTCAAAAATAGTGCTGTTTCCTTTCTCTCTTGGCTGATCTAAAACCATCTTATAACATTGTGACTCTTTAGGTGTTGGGTAACTGTTTGAGATGCTGATTAGGTGCATGAACTGGAAAATAAAGGTGGTGCACAACTAGCAAGCCAGATGGAATGTATTTTCATTTAATTGTTCCATCACTGTGTTTGATCCAGTGCTGAGGCTTTTCTGGAGCCAGGTTGTACTTCTTCAGTCAGCCTGAAGGTGAACTCGGGAGGGCTGGAGACCATGATACTTGTGTGGCCCACCCAGGAGACAGTTCTGCGCTGCTGGCTTAGTTCCCTGAGTACTGCAGTATTTCATCCAGACTACATCCCACCCACAGGGCTGTGCAAGGGGCACAGGGAGACCTCCTTCAATGCAGTAATATCTTGGTCTTCTTTCTTCAGCTGGAAGCCCACCCAGTTATTGAGCGCACAGAGCTGAATACAAACCATGTTCTACTATACCTGGAAAAGGTGAGGATGGGGCAGAAACACAGGCATTGGGAATATTGGCTGTGTAGAGCAAAAAATCCGGACCCAAAACTACCATGGCTCTGCTAAGAATGGGACTGAATAATTTACTGTCTTTTTCTGACTACAAACTTCAAGTTTTTAGACTTAATGCTACTTTGCTCCCAGCCCTCAGTCAGCAATCTGTCCATCCTGTGCACCAGCAGAGCCTCCCCGAGGGTGGGGAATGGTCCCAGGGTTTGCCCCTGTCCCTCAGCCAGCCCTACAGCGCTGTGTCCCCCCGAACATGGGTGGCCGGGGAGAGTGTGGGAGCCTGGGCTCAGTGCAGAGGCACAGGGGAGCCTTGGCTGCAGTGCAGAGCCCCCCTGAGCCTCTACTGCTTCCCTTCCCAGCTGGGCAGGGAGACCCTCAGCTTCTCCTTCACGGTGGAGCGGGACATCCCCGTGCGGGGCCTGAAGCCAGCCCAGGTGAAGGTCTATGACTACTACGAGACAGGTGAGTGCCAGCAGTGCCCGTGGCAGCGAGGCTGGGCAGGGGACACGTGGAGGGACACGGGAGCTGTGGGGACCCGCAGCTGTCCCAGCCTGGCACTGCCAGCCCAGCCCTGCCCTGAGCTCTGGGAGGGCAGAGGGACTGGGGCAGAGCCGTCCATGCTGGGGTCCCGTGTTCATTTCTGGCCCTGCAGTGTGGCCCTGCCTGTGCTTCCAGGCAGACCTGCTGCTCCTTGTGCCTCTGCTGTCCTGGCTGCTGTGCCAGGGTGGCAGTGACAGAGCTCTTTGTGCCCACCTCAGCCCAGTGTGCTGGGAGGAGGTGTCTGAGCAGCCCTTGGCTGCACTGGCAAGGAGACCTGCTGGAGCTGCCTGTGTGGGGGGCTCTGCCTTGCTGCCACTGCTCCCAGACAGGGCTGGCACTGGGGCTGCCCCCACCCCAGCTGGCATCTCTGGGGGAAACTGGGGATGATGGCACCAGCCTGCTCTGGGAGCCTAGGAAAAGCATCTCTGTGGCACCCATCCCTCTGCCAGCAGTGCCAGGGCTCATGACAGCTCTCCCTTCCCTTCTGTTTTCCAGATGAGTTTGCCACACAGGAATACAATGCTCCCTGCACCACAGGTAGGTGCACTTGAACAACTCAGATGTCCAGCAGGGACTGTTACAAGCTGTCTTGAACTAGAGTCTTTGTAGACCTTGTGTTTTCTTGGCCTGTGTCTACTCTCAGCATTTTCCTCACTGTGCCTACTGCAGTCCCCAATGTCAGTACAGAGACCAAAAGCAATGCTGCCACCCAGCTTCCTCTGTAAGATCAGATACAGCTTTCATTTTCCTTCCCTGCATACAGCAATCTCAGTATTACTGCCTTTGTTTGTACAGTGGCAATTGTCTTTTCCTCTGTGTTAGTGTCACTTTATGCAAATGAGATTCGGGTCTCCCTTGGGATGAAACATCACACTCAGCCTTTTGTGTCTCTGCCCTTTTTAGGGCCACATCTGCTGTGCTGCAGACACTGAAAGGTACTGAGGAATTGTCTCCCAAATACCTTGGTGAAATGTTGATGTTATTCACATCTCTTTACGAAGACCTTTCAAACTCTTCCCTGGGTTGATTTTGCTTTCTCATGGGAAATGCAGTTGCTGAGAGAGAATGTGTGCTTGGATAGCTCATGTATCTCCAGGACAAATCTGCCTCCCCTCTTTGTAGCATAGATATTTTGAATGTGTCCAGTCATTCCCATTCTATTATCTGTCTGCAACTGAGCATTTTTATGTGAAGCAGTTTCTCATAGTTTAACAGGCTTGAACTCACATAGCCACCAGAACACAGGGATATCCAGGGCTCTGGATACCACCCACCAAAATATTTATCTCACTTTGTTCTTTTCCCACCTCCAGCTGAGGCAGAACAAGGAAATTCCTGAAGAATGCATCTTGTTGGAGCCTTGCTGTATCAGCTCATGTATTTCTGCCCCTAGAAGATCGTGTTAAGGGAGGGGTATTGAAAAGCTAGAGGAGGACATCTCAAAAGCGAAAAGGAAGCAACACTGTAAATAAATTAATTCTTGATTCTCATCAGATGTCTCTGGCCTTGCTTTCTTTTACTGTTGTGCTTGTCTCTCTTCCTATCCATGTCATGGCCTGAGATTTCAATCCAGAGCCATCCCTGGCAAGGTGGTGTTTGAGAACTCCTCAGGAATACCAGAAGGCAGACAGCTTTTAGTAGTTGGGAGATTTTTCTCCATACTTGCCAGTTATTTAAGGAGAGAAGACATCATATCTCATCCATTATGCACTGGAAGTTTGTCACTCTGCCTTTACAGAGGGTGTTATCTGCAAGGTGATCCTTGGACATAAACCTCTGATCACATATTGCCTTTGACTGCACTGTGAAATCACTGCTGTGAGATGCCAGGACACTGTGAACCTGTCCAATCTGATCTTTTGCAGAAGCCCAGACAGAAGAGAAGACCTGTGGGCTTTCCCATTCTCTCAGGGTCTGCTTGTTTCTAACCAGCTAAAGTGAAATCAGAGAGGGACTGGGACCTTCAGAGTGTCACTCATAGAATTTTTTTGGTTTGGTAAGGCTTTAAGGTCAAGCCCTACTATTAACCCAGCATTGCTCGGTCCACTGCTAAACTGTGTAGGGTTACATGGAGTTGTTGTGACCCAAGTGTAGGACCCAGCACTTGGCCTCACACCACTTGCCTTGACCCATGGATCCAGCCTGTCCAGATCCCTCTGCAGAGCCCCCCTGCCCTCCAGCAGATCCACACTCTCGCCTAGCTTGGTGTTTCCTTCAAACTTACTGAGGGTGCCCTTGAACCCCTTAGGTCATTGATAATTAAGTGGGAGTGGCCCCAACACTGGGCCCTGGGGACCCCACTGGTGAGCAGCTGGATTCTGTAGCTCCATTCACCACCTCTCCCTGGGCCTGCCTATCCAGACAGCTTTTTACCCAGCAAACAGTGCACCTGTCCGAGCCATGAGCAGCCAGATGCTCCAGGAGAATGTTGTGGGAAAACAGTGTCGAAGGCGCTACTGAAGTCTGGGTAACCTACATCCACGGCCTTTCCCTTATCCATTGAGTGGGTCACCTTGTCATAGAAGGAGATCAGACTGATCAAGCAGGACCTGCCTTTCCTAACCCTCTGCTAGCTGGGTCTGATCACCTGGTTCTCCTACATGTGACACATGATGGCACTCAAGATAATCTTCGGCAAAAATTCAACCAAGAACCACTTGCATTTTTCATAAGAACTTTATCATCTTATCCTCAGTGGAGGTCCATAGATCTCCTCTGGGTTTTCTGAGTAATTTTAATATTATTTTTTTTCTCCTTCACAACTAGGCTTACAGTGCTTTGAAAATTTCAGTGGGGAGAACCTGGCTTCATGTCTTGTAATTTGGGCTAAACATTTTTCATGTACCATTTTCCAAATGGTTTCAAGATGTCTTACATGGATGCAGAGGCAGTCAGCCTCAGTTCAAGAGGTCATATGGCACCATGTGTGTTTTACTTACATGTTTCTACGTGCAGAGGTGCCTTTTGCCCTGCCAATGTAAGCTTAACCAAATACACCTATAGGAGTCCCTCATGTAGCTTATTTCACAAATACAGGCCCTCCTTTCTCTGGAAAAGCAATTGCCTCATGTTAGAAAAAATAGATGGCTATATTACTTCTAATTCAAAACAAAATGCAATTTAACTGTATTATAAATCTTGCTCAGCTGTCACTGAAGCCGGTTCATTCCACAGTCTCCTCTGAATATGAGGTGTCAAAAGGCCTTGAGTGTGTAAACCCCAAACATAACAGAAGACAAAGTGACATAATATTAATATCTAGCAAAATAGATGAAGAATTTTATTTGTTCTCAATGACACTGTTTGTGCAGGTACACTAAACCAAAAATTGGATGAAACAGCCAACTGAGCATACTTTGGATGCACAACATGCCATGATACCTAACAGTAAGCATTTCATGAGAATAAACAGGCACCTAAGATTTTTTTTGCATTCAGAAGTTAAAACCACAAATTCATGAGGCAAAACGAAGAAAGGGGGATCATTCCTGGGGGTGTCTAAGAGGCCTATGGACAGTTTCATCAAAGCAGCTATGTGATTTAAATGAATGTACCATTTAAACTAGACATAGGCAGGTAGGTTAGTGGCAAATGCCATTAGCTTCTCCTTGGGAATATCCCAGAAGTAGCAGACATGAGATAATGGAAACTTCCACAAGAAGGCTCAAGCTTCAACTGGAGAACAAGCCATTGTAAGCCAGTAGCTGAAGGCATGATGCATGCACACATCCCTGCTGCCCTCCTGGCACTCTCTAATCATTGAAGAGGGCAGACTCTGTCTCCTCCCACTCTTCTAAAAACAAGAAACCATCCCAGGAAGGGTGTCTGCAGGGAAGGTCACAGAGGCTGAATTTCATGTAACATTAGTTGATCTTCCAGGCTGCCTAATGGTGGGAGACACGGACAGGCCTCTGCAGAGACCAATTCAATGGAGGATATGGTTTTTAAGTCAAGGGAGAGAAGTGGTTCCCACGAACTACCTATCTTTCTCCATTGATTAGACTGCATCTCAGATGATAAGTTCAGAGAACATAACACAGAGACAGATACATTAGAAAGGCTGACCCCCACTTAGATCATTCTGTCTTCTTTTTTTTCCTCCTCTCTTGTTAGCCTTATTTCCCTGCACACAGGCATTGTTAGATGGGTTACTCTTTAACCTAAGAAGCCAGGGAGATTAAAGCTGTGACTGAAAGATGAGCAGGAAAAATCGAACAGGGAACAAATTGTTCAAAAATCATTGGTCAGTACAGTTAATTTATTTGTAAAGTTCACTTTCCATTCCATGCAGGCATTATTAATGTCATGCTGTGTGGTGGTGGTGAGGCAGGCAGGTTCCAGCATCTGGGAGTGTTCTTCAGTCATTTCCCTGGTCTGCTTCCTCTGCAAGGATGAAAGAAGATGGGAGGGAACAGGAGTCAGAGAGATATGTCCATCTGCTTTCTAAGGTTGAGAGACAGAGGGAGCAAGATGTGGATGTGGAAGCCAGGTTGTGTGTGGAGCACAGTACAGGAGAGAGTTGCTGTTTTACCAGGGTGGAGGCTCATCCACAGCACTCACTACTTGTGCCACTTTCAAGGCAGTGTGAGGTTGAGAGAGGGCTGAAATTCTCCCTGACCCACTGGGAGAGATAAGCAGAGTGGGATTTGTCACAACTGAGTGCAAACAGCACAGTGCAAACAGGAAAAGCTGGTTGGTGTACCAGTGAGACGTGCTCTGTTTATTTCTCTGCAAAGAGTGGAAGAAAACCACTGCACTCTGTTGCTCTACTATACAGGGCAGGGAAGGAAGCTTGGCAAGTGAGATCTGCCTTCCAGTCAGTGCAGGCCACCTCTGTACATTTAGAGTAGTGGATGAGCCTCTTAAGTGGCAGTTTCCCATCCTCCTTTCCAAGGAAAATAAAATCTCTGCCTTTTAACAGAACTGGGGAAAAATAGCCTAAAATCTAAGGTCTCCCCATGAGTCTCACACTGGACAACCAGACCACACCAAAATACCCTTTGGAAATGTTTTACTGTCCACTCAATGTTTGGACTTATGCACATTTTTCCATGAAGGGAGGCTGTAGGTCCAGAATCAGCAGAAAACAGCTGTACCTATGGAACACAGCCCAGATTAACAAGCACTATGGAACAGAAGTGTGAGAGTTCAGACTCTTCTACTTTTTCAGTTAGAAACACTAAAGGAGATAAATGCCATCATTTACCACCAGCAGAAGGCAAAGCTTTTGCCTTCTCCAAGTCCAAATCACTTTTTCTCTGTTCTCAGGTGTCACAGTCAGGTCCTGTGAAAAACCATTTCCCAGGAACTCGGCTTTCCTGAAGCCTCCATATTCCAAACACCTGAACCTGGATTATTGATGGAAAATAAGACCTGCCACACTTCATACTGGAAGACTCCATATAGGACAGGGGAAATAACCTAGGTCAGACCATATTACAGAAGCTCCTAAATCACCTGTGCTCCTAAGCCAAACACACATGGCCTTGCATTGCAGAGAATCCCCCAAAGATGACAGCATTCTGTCCTGACATCTCAGACTCCAAGTCAATACTGAGGGCTGCCTGCCCAGGGTTATAAGGCACAGCAGTCTCCTGACAGGCCCTGGGGCAGCAGGAACCTTAGCAAGAAGCAGCTGTTCCTCCAGACAGCAGCAGCCAAAGGCAAACTTGCCATCTCTGTAACACCCATGCTCTTTGTTTTACACACAAGATCTGTGCCTGTACGTTGGGCCAATGTCATCCAAATTCAAACAGGAAGAGACAAGTGCTGGCTGGAAGACCAAAAATATAATGAAGAAGATGGAGAGAGCAGTGAAGAAGGCAGTACACTACCTGTGGTGCAGGGAGCATTGTATTCCTGTGTGGCAAACTCATCTGGAAAACAGAAGGGAAGGGAGAGCTGTCATGAGCCCTGGCACTGCTGGCAGAGGGATGGGTGCCACAGAGATGCTTTTCCTAGGCTCCCAGAGCAGGCTGGTGCCAGCATCCCCAGTTTCCTCCAGAGATGCCAGCTGGGGTGGGGGCAGCCCCAGTGCCAGCCCTGTCTGGGAGCAGTGGCAGCAAGGCAGAGCCCCCCACACAGGCAGCTCCAGCAGGTCTCCTTGCCAGTGCAGCCAAGGGCTGCTCAGACACCTCCTCCCAGCACACTGGGCTGAGGTGGGCACAAAGAGCTCTGTCACTGCCACCCTGGCACAGCAGCCAGGACAGCAGAGGCACAAGGAGCAGCAGGTCTGCCTGGAAGCACAGGCAGGGCCACACTGCAGGGCCAGAAATGAGCACGGGACCCCAGCATGGACGGCTCTGCCCCAGTCCCTCTGCCCTTCCAGAGCTCAGGGCAGGGCTGGGCTGGCAGTGCCAGGCTGGGGCAGCTCCCGTGCCCCTCCACGTGTCCCCTGCCCAGCCTCGCTGCCACGGGCACTGCTGGCACTCACCTGTCTCGTAGTAGTCATAGACCTTCACCTGGGCTGGCTTCAGGCCCCGCACGGGGA